TTAGGAGTCAGTTTAATATAATAACTATTTAGTAGAAAACTAGTATTAGGTTCTCCCCTATGCCCTGTGACTTATCTAGCAGGTTTCTATGTCCGCTATCAATGTCAGGTATGGGTTTCATCCTAGGAAGTGGACCTTAAATCCAATTTGGTTATTCCCATAATATTCGTGCCACTATTGCACCACTGGGCATATCTTGCCAGGTCGGTTGTTGTTGTAGTTCACGGGATTTACAATTGGGTAAGGTTGATGATTATTTTTTTCATCTGTAACATGCATAACACCTTCCAGCACTATGACACTAGCCATCAGAGATGAAGCTTTGAAGTCAGCACCAGCTGGATTTCTTTTTCTTTGTTCTATAGCTCACATATGTATAGTGTCTTCAGCAATGGAGTCTTATTATCAAGTCTGGGCAGATAATGAAGAGTAGAGGCAATGGCCAGGAAAAATGCTCTACTATTAAGTGTAAAATTAGTCCCAAAATGCAAATGAAGTTTGTACTCAATGCTAACTCTCCACTCTAAGAGTTGAGCATCTCAGCTCTCTAAAGGGCTTGGGTGAGACAAGGCTGGGTAAAACTTCTTGAGTGCTCATTAGGCTTCCCCATGATGAAAACTGAGACTTTATCATCCTACTTTTGAGAAAATGTGTTTTGAGTAATGCCAAAAGGAACAGAGTACAGTTTCCAACAGTTGGCACAGTCTTTCCCCAGAATGGGTTTCATGAGATACCAAAAGCCCTGTTCTGGATACAAAGAATTCCACAGGCCACTTCTTTTGAGCAACAATGTATAAGGCCTATAGACAATTTTTACTTGCAGTCTTCCCTGATAAGTATCACCTTAAGAGTCCCCCAGTGCACAACATGCAATATTCTCAAACTGACTTCACTGGAGTCCGCAGACCCCTTCCTTGAAGGATATTTCAGAAAACACTTTGGGAAACGTGTATTCCAGCCATACCATAACAATCATATTTGACAAAGGGGTTCCCACGTCAGTCAGATAATCACCTGTCACAGTGAGGTGTGATTTTTGCTACCATATGGAGAGTGTTGCCCCTCTCCAACCCAGGGCTACGTGTCAATGGCTTTGTGTCCAGGGTGGTGCTGTTGGAAGGTGGCACCTCAAGAAGTTGGGCCTGGCAAGAAGTCCTCTGGTCACTGGAGGCATACTTTTGAAAGGGACCACAGATCCTGGTCTCTTCCTTTCTCTTTTTCTTTCTCACTATGAGGTGAATAGCCCTTTGGTACATGCCCAAAAGGGCCAGCTTATCATGGTCTAAAAGTTTAAAAACTGTGCCAAAGAAACTTTTTCTCTTTTTATGTTATGACAGGTATTTTGTTACAGTAATGGAAAGATAACACAAATTTCAAGTCACTTTTAGCAAATAAATGGATTTTTTTTCAAAAATATATGTACCAGTAAAGTCCATAAAGTTGAATTGACATTTCTCTTAAAAATTAACAGATTTGCAGAAACAGAATGGTGATTACCAAGGTTGCAAACACCTCACCTATGAACACTATCATCTTGTCATCAAGGTGGTCATCCTGGCCAAGTCCAAGCTGCTATGGGTAAGAGGTAAGGTTATGGCCATGGACCAAAGCAGCACATACTCCTGGCCTAGCCTTAACTGTACATACAGGTCTTCTCCCTAGGCTAGTCCCACCTTGTTATTCTATTCCACGGCACTAGTTTGTAGTGTTTCTCCCTTCCTCTCCACAGGGCAGTGCTGGGGACAGAATGCAGAGCTTCAGTCCTACTCCTTAAGTGCTCAGCCATAGTCACACCTTTTGCCCCTCCCCCATCCCTTTCTTTCTGGATCCTTCCTGTAGCCTCAGCTGGCCTGGAACTTGCTATGTAGACCACGCTGGCCTCGTTCTCAGAGATCCATGTGCCTCTGCCCCCAAAGTGCTGGAATTAAAGGCGTGTCACCACACTTGGCCACATATGCTCATTTTGCTAACTGGATTTTTGTACTTTTCCCAGGATCCTGAAGACAGAGTCACTGCGTCCACAGTGAAACTGGGGTCCAACTGACCTACAAATGAACCCTCAGAGTATGACACACATAGTGTCAGTACCACATAGGTGGCAGAATTTCCTTTACTTTATGCATTCACATCATGCTTCTGTTCTGGACAGGACAATAAATTACAGGTTTCTTTTCATTGTCATTTTTTCTCAAAAATCTTATCACTTTTCTTAAAAACTGGTCAGACCAATTATAGATTAATTAGAAGCAGTATTCACTAAAATATTATATAATGCCTTTTCCTTCTTCTTTCATTGTCATTTTTTCTCAAAAATCTTATCACTTTTCTTAAAAACTGGTCAGACCAATTATAGATTAATTAGAAGCAGTATTCACTAAAATATTATAAAATGCCTTTTCCTTCTTTTTTTTTTTTTTTTTTTTTCCCTGAGACAGAGTCTTGCTAGTATCCCTGCTGGCCTAGGAGTCACTATGCAGGTCAGGCTGGTCTTGAACATGTAGGAACATGTAGCAATCCTCTTGCCTCTGTCTCCCCAAGTGTTGAGATTACATGCGTCGGCTAATGTACCTAGTTACATACGGTTTTTAATTGTGGACTGCATCAGGACTATCTTTTATTTGTTGCTATAAAGCAATAAGTACACTTAATATGCAGTCACTAAATACTAAAAAGACTTGGCATGATCATAGACAGTAAGGTTAATTGAGCTCAGAAAGGTCTCCTCACACAGCTGCACACAGGTTGAGATCTGTTTCCTTGTGAAAAAGCCTGACCATGGACTGCCCTGCCTCACACAATTATCCCTGGTCAAAGACACTGGAAAAGCTGCCTGACTGAGTGTCTTTTCCCCTGTCATCAAGAGAGAAAATTACACAACAAAAGTGAATGGCAGCATCAAAGCCTGACTGCCAAGGCTCTGCAGCCCAGCCTTCAGGGGCTATTTTCTGTGTTGCCTCTGGGATAGAGAAGGGAAGGTGCCCACTACAGGATAAACAGCAGAACAAAGGAAAGAAAGACCGTGAGCTGGCCTAGGCCCCACAGTGGGACTTCATATGAGCACTCTTTCAACAAGCATCAAAGAGTTTCTGCAGGCTGAGCAGTGAATACTTAGCTTATCTCAAAGTTCTGGCACCACAGATGCCAGTGATCTGTATGCTTTAAGAGATGGCACAGTGTGAATGCAGTCGTAATTAATGGCATTTGCCATATATGATGCAGAAGAGACTGGCAAACATTTAGGATTTCCTCAGTTAACTGAAAATAAAAGCCCAAAGAATTCCTCTATGTGTAACAAAACTGTATCACTCCAAAAGAAAGAGCATTTCTTAGTCAAATATAATTTGACATTTTAGTCAGAGTGTGGTGGAAGCCTAACCACTGAGCGGGGGATCGGTTTCTGGAGCTCTACCTTTGAAAACAGACAAACAAACTAAAAATAAAGCTAGGCCTCTTACACATGTGTAATTTCTTCATTATGATGGAATGCAACAAAATATCTCACCCTTGGGTTGCTCATTTCAGCCAAAACAAATGCAAATGGCTTGTCAGATGACAGCTGTTTGATAAGGCTCCTCTGTAAGACCTGGGTGCTTTACTTTTTCCGTGAAACTTGGGATGAAAGGCAGAAGGCAGGAAGAGAATTAATGTAGCATACAGTCTAAAGGCAATGCTACAACCGTGATTAAGTAGAAAAGTTAAAAGGCACAGATTTTCCACAGCTTCGCTGCGTGCAACCCATCCGTGTAACAAGTTGACAGGCCTAGCGCGTCAGCTCCATCATCCCCTCCGACAGCTAAAACGCAGCATTGCATCCCTTTTCAGAGAAAATTTGCGTCTGCACCATGAAGCGTTGTACATTATTTCTTAGCACTGCAGGGGGCTCAAGTCCATATGGAACCTTCACAAATATTACCACAGATCAAACCAGCGGCGTTTGCAGGCAGATTTGACATACCTATTTAAATGAACAGCAGGGGTCCTCGGGCAGCCTGAGGCTGTGCAGGAGAGAACCCGGTGGAAGCCAGAGCACAGCTCCATTACTCAGCAAAGACACACTCCCCATTTATCATTCATTTCATTTCTGCCAGGGCAAGAAGCTCATTTGCCCAAGGTCAACAAAAAGCGAAAAGAAGGTTTTCTTTTTTTTTCCCCAAGAAATAAATGTACCCGACAAGTGGGGATTTTGTCCTTTGGGTTTGTGAAACACAAATAAACGGCAGATAAGTCTAAAAGCAGAGTAAATGTGTGCACTGACTCAAGCCTCTGACTATGAATGGGGGGAGCCCATCCATAGTATATGTATATACTATATATTTCTGTAGCTTTAAAAAAAAATCATATTATGGGTAAAATAGAACTTTGACACTATGTTCTCAAACTAAAATGGCTCTGTCCTTTAACAGTGGATACTGGCACCCAGCATTCTTTTTTCCCCATGGCAGTTCTGGGTAACTCTCCCAAATCTGCACACTATCAAACAACTTTGAAAGCAACACAAAAATTTCATAGTACGTTCAGAACAGCTGAAAGCTGATGTGCAATAAAAGCCTCACTGCTTAGGTTGTTCTGGTGGCCTAGATGCTCTACTCCTACACTGATTAATTAATCAAGGAAAGGCAAAATCTTATGGATAATAGAAACAAAGTTGACAGCCATCTGGAGGCAAATGAAAGGCCTCTCAGTCCTGCCAGCACACGGCCTACCTGGCTTCCCCTTGCCTATCTGCGATGCGCACAGGTACAGGACTGCTGAGCTACACAGCTCTCCTGGGATGATTCCAATTTGTAAGAGCATTTTACAGACAAACATAGTGATACAAATCCTATAAAGTTTACCTTTAGCTGAAGTAAAATGATAGGACAGAAAGCCTTTCATCAACCGCTCACCTCCACAAGTGTTATTTTTGTCCACTATGAAATATTAAATTCTGAAGCTAAGAGAAGCCTCTAGGATAATTTTATAGTGTATAGTACATATCAGCATAGGTGTAACATACTTACATGCATTAGTGAATAATATGATGGCTTGCCAGTATAGAAGAGAAAATGAAATGGACGGCCATCTTTTCCCCACTGGATTGCTAATGAAAAGACAGATGAAAACAAATAAAAACATGTACAGAGATAAAGTGCCGTGTTATATAATATATAGATCATTTACCTGCAGTATAGACACAGTTATAATTTGGATTAGCTTTAAAATGACAAAAACTGTTAATACTTAAAAATGTATTTCTTTGGTTTAGCATAGTTAGTATGTAAATATTTAGGACAGTTACTATTTCATACCACTTTGCAGAAAACAATGTCTATATTCAATAAACTATTCCACCATGATAATCTCTCTAACTTGTTTTAAATAAAGCCTCAAAAGATAGTCTGAATCAGTTAAAGCAAAAATATTCGGTATTGGTAACAAATCACAATGTACTTGTATGTTTTTCAAAATGAAAACTGATAGTTAAGAATGCAATACATTTAGACTAAAAATAGGCACAGTAAAACACACTTTAAGAAACGTATTTGCCACATTCGTTTCAACCCTGTGGTAATCTACCTCTGAGAGTTTAAGATATCTACAACTGAAGGGTTTTCAGACCCAGAAGTTACAGCTACTTCACTTTGAAACATACATATCCTTCACAAATAACCACCACCAAACTGGGAAGAAGAGCTACTACAGTAAATAAGTCAAACCCTAAAACCTTTGTCTACTCTATATCAAGCCAGTTCTTAGCTATTTGTAGTGACTCCTGCGTGTTAAAAGATTTGTCTTTTTTACCACCTGTAATTCCAGCAGGTAAGCGGCAAAGGAAGAGGATCATGGGTTCTGAGGCCAGCTAGGCTATTCAGGGAAATGTCTCAAGAGAAAAAACAAAGTAACGAAAAATTAAATTCTGAAGTCCACTACATAAGTTATGAACCATTTCCTCTGGTCTGCTCCTTCCTATTACCTTTACTTACAGTACCTTTCATAACCAGGACACAAAGTATGTATCAAACTACGGAATCTGCTGCTCCGTGCAGAATTCCTCAGCCTTTTATTACTGCCGAGCCCACTAAGGGAACTTCTTCAGACATTTCTGCCCTGGTTGTCTGGCTGTCATGACATTTTCTTATGACAGACACATGGTCTATCTGCTGATGTGTACTGTGGGCCTCTTTAGGGCCACAAGCCACAACTAGGTTTCCTCACCTCTTTGGAAGCAGTATCATCTCCATGAGAAAGTATGCTTTAAAAAACTTTGGCTTGCTGGGCATGGTGGTGCAGGCCTTTAATCCCAGCACTTGGGAGGCAGAGGCAGGCAGATAACTGTGAGTACAAGGCCAGCCTGGTCTACATAGTGAGTTCCAGGCCAGCTGGGGCTACAGGGAGACCCTGTCTCAAAAAAACAAACAAACAAAAAAACGAAACAAACCAAAAAACAAAAACCTTGGGCCTAAATTTCTTTTGAAATTCTGATTCATTTTCATATTCAGGTATTTAATGTATCTAGAATTTTTTGTAAAGCAAAAAGCCAAGTACTATTTTAAGGAAGCAGCCTTTATTATTATTATTTTAAATAGTAAACACTTTTCTGCTGAAATACTAGCACTGTATGCTGGATGTACTTCTTCTCTGAAGAAAATTAGTGTTAGATGGAGAATACACTTAAAACAGAGGAACAAACTGCCACAGTGAACAGTGAAAAAAAATCTGGCTTGGGCATTTAGATTTCACAATGCATGTGTATGCACATATTCATGCATTAAGATACTTAATTCACTGAGTATGCAGTACCATAGATTTTAGGGTGCCCCTTCTTGTACTTTGTTTATATACCACAAAACTTACCACAGCACAGCATGTTATCAGGGCTTAGAGTCACTCATAGTGCATCCTGTTGGTAAGTTGGAAAAATCTGAAAATGCTAAAATCCATAAACTCTTGCCCAAACATATGCCAACATTAAATATTCTACTGATCTTTTATTCTACAATACAATCACCATTTTACTCATCAGAAAATGTCATGAGGAGCCAGACAACCTGGGCAGAAATGTCTAAGGAAGTTCCTTAGTGAGCTTAATAGTGAAAAAAAGGGCTGCGGAATTCTGTGGAGAAAGGGCAAGAGATCCCATGATATGATACATATTTAAACCTCTTGATTATGAACTATGATCCCGGTTAGAGGGAGCGCCCTCCATTACACCATAAAAACTTCTCACTGCTTCTTATACCTTTCAATTTCCTCCAAAGTCCTACCAAGAATGGTAGTTTATTAATTTTGAAAACAGCACTGAGCCTAATGATACAGGCTTGTAATTCCAGTCTAGGCAACCCAGCTACAATATAGCTCAGTAACAGTGACAGAGTGCTTGCCTAAGCATATACAAGGCTAGGTTCAAGGCCCAGTACTGGGGTGGGGGTGGGGGGGCAGTAAATGGGAACTTTAGACTAGTATCTTCCCTATCAGGAACATGGAATCCTTTTTCTAACCAGATTTTCACTTATGATCTTTAATTTTCTAGGTAAACTGTTTACATATTATATCTGTATTTATATGTAGATTTTGTTGCTATAGATTCAGCTCCTCCTATTTACTTACCTATAATACATTTGAAAATAGGTAAGTTTAATTATACAGGCAACATACTATTCTCTCAAAGACTAAATTTAAGAATTCCTTGCTTAGTGGCAATGTGAAAGTTTATGGTTCTAGACTCTTTCCAGGCATTTAAAGATGTACACTTGCTGTTTCCCTAGGGTTTGTTTTTTATCGGTGAGTACTGTTTGCTGAGTACTGTTTGCTGAGTATTACTAAGTACTGTTTCCCTAGGGTTTGTTTTTTATTGGTGCTGCTGTTTTGAGACAAGGTCTCCCTGTAGCCCCAGCTAGCCTGGAACTCACTTATGTACACCAGGCTGGCCTCAATCTCAGAGACTGTCTACCTCCTGAGTGCCGGGATTAAGGCATGCACCACCGCACCCAGCTTTCCATCTTGCTTAAAATATTATTACTATTCCAAAAACAAAAACAAAAACCAAAAAACCTTGAGTTGCCAGGTGTGGTGGCACATGCCTTTAATCCCAGCACTCGGGAGGCTGAGGCAGGTGGATCGCTGTAAGTTCCAGGCCAGCCTGGTCTACATAGCAAGTTCCAGGCCAGCTGGCGCTACAGGGAGACGAAAAAAAAAAAAAAAAAAAAAAAAAAAAAAAAAAAAAGAAAGAAATTTACTACTGCTCCTCCTCCTCCTATTATTATTATTACAGGGAGGGGAATCAAGCATGCATGCGATGATCAGAAAACAACCAGTGGGAGTCAGTTCTCTTCCTCAATGTGGGTTCTGGGGTTTGAACTCAGGTTGTCAGCATGGTGGCAAATGCTGGTTGAGCCATCTCGCCAGCCCAACTTGTTTTATTTTCAAGATAGGGTCTCACTATGTAGTTGGGCCTCAAAGTTATTATGTATATAGTCCTATACACTAAAGCATTTTTAGTTTTTTCAGCCCAATATCATATGAGCAAACACAATGTTATTTTTACCACCTATATGATGGTATGATTCCAACAATTTATTCAGAAACTATGATGAATATTTACATTGTTTCCTATTTTTGCTGATATAATACTTCTGAATTCTTCAGTTGATAAGACAGCTTCTTGTTATTGGTTTTGTAAGGCATTAGTTCTAGCCTCTGGTATTTTTAAATGTCTTCTGGCTACTTTTATTTCCTTCAATTACAAGCTGCTTGCTATTCTTTGCCTATTTTCCACAGAGCTTTTTTGTTAACTTATAAGAGTAATTTATTTTGGGTATCAAGCCCTGGTCACATTTCAAAATTTCTGGTGTCTTTTTGTTAGAAGGTTTTACCTTGAAAATAATTTATTATCTCTTCCTTTGTGTTGTTCAACAGCTTAGACATACGGTATCTGTCATTTAAAAATATTGATAGTGGTATTATCTATTTGTATGTTCTAGGGTTTATGATTTATTTTATTTTCTTTGCATGGGTGGTGGGAAGGGCAGAGGTTGAGACAAGAGATTCACTCTGTAGCCCAGGCTGACCTCAAACTCCTCATAATCCTTCTGCTTCAGCCTCCTGAGTTCTGGGATTACAGTCTGCACTGACTTTCCAGTGTGTGGTTTTAGTTACTGTGATGTCACTGGCTGGCAAGATGCTCAGATGATTTCCACATGATCAAAATTTTATCCTTTATACTATGACAAAAGCAGTTTCATAAAAGGGCTTTATTTAAACATTTCAGAACAATTCAGTTACAAGGTTTTGTTATGGTTTTCTTCCCCCCTCCCCCAAGAGCTGAGGACTGAACCCAAGGCCTTGTGTTTGCTATCCCCTAGAACTGGAGTTCCAGGCAGTTCTGAGCTGCCATGTGGGTGCTGGGAACCAAATCTGGTCCTCTGCAAGAGCAGCAAGTGCTCTTCAACTGCTGAGCCATCTCTCTAGTCCCTTAATACATTTCTTAATGTTAAACCATAGTTATAGTTCTAAGGAAAAATGTTCTCTGGTATAGTCTTTTAGTAAAATGCTTTATTTGGCGTTTTATGTAATTTATGATCAAGCTTAGTAATTATTTGAGTTTAAAAGTGAATCTGGAAGTCTTCATTCTTTGTTTTCTGCTCTGCAACAATATAGACAATAACAAGTTATCTGTTCTTTCATGGGAAAATTGAACTCACTGACAAGACCTGCTGGGCCTGTTTTCTTCAGCAGACCTCTGATGACCTTTGACCTGTCTAGCTTTTAGTGTACCCAGAATTTTCCTGATTAAGACAACTATGGCAATTATTTTAGGTGAGAGTCAGTGGAAGGCCATGGTCACACATTTGTACCATGGCATCTTGCTTGTCTGGGCCACACCACATACCCAGTCATTTCTGGTCCGGGTGTTCCTGCAAGTGAAAACGGGGAATAGCATGTGTTTAAAAAACTGTGGGAAGGGTTTTAAGATGAGATAAAATATAGGAAGCTCTTAGAATGACATTTCAATAAATGTGATTACTTAGAAGAGCTTTCAAATTAGAATAAAAGCTAAATCTGTCTTATATTAATAAAATAACATAACTATCCTACATCCTCAAAATGGTCTCTGAATATGAAAGTCTTTATAGTGGGCTGCTAGTACAGCTCAGTGGTAAGCATTTACCTGTCTGGCATACATGGGTTCAATTCTACTGAAAAATAGTAATCATAAGAAATAAATAATCTTAATGTTATTCTCATATTTTTCCATGATTAAATTTGTGCAGCTGACTGATTTTACTGACTTTTTCAAAGCACCACTTGATTTTATTTATCATAGTTACTCTTTTTTTTTTTCCTTGTCTTGTCTGTTTGAGACAGGGTCTCCCTGTAGCCCCAGCTGGCCTGGAACTCAATATGTAGACCAGGCTGAATTCACAGACATCTACCTGCTTCTGCCTCCAGAGTACTGGGATTAAAGGCATGCACCACCACACCAGGCTCATAGCTACTCTTTTAAGCTTGTTTACTATGTTCATCAATTTAGCTTTTTAAAAATTCTTTATGAACTGAATATTTAGTTCATTTGCTCTCTTTCTCAATTACTAAAGATCTATATCGTGTCTCTGCACAGCTTACAGACCATATTCCACAGGACTTGATGTTGTTGTCTCACTGTCACACAGCTCTCAACAGCCTGTAATTTCAATTTTGATCTCTTTAATGCAACAGTGATACAGTTTTCTTATTTTAAGTTGGAAAATCTAACTGATATGACATCTGCTTTTGGGATTTTGTTAGTTTTCTCTGTGGTCCACTTCATCATGCATAATTCTACTAATGTTTACATTTGTATTTGTAGCTATAAAATCATGCTGTATCATTCAAATTCTTTATAGCCTTAGTTAACAGCTATGCTTCATAATACTTCAATGCTGTCTGGTACAAAAAGGCTCATGGTTATCAAATCTATTAAACTGAATGGATAACAGGTTTTATCAATACAAATCAACATTCTCATCTCACTGAAACACTCCTAATCCTCCAATTCCAGTATCAGTGCCTTCTTGTTCTGTCATCCACTTGGTTTGCATCTTCATTTTCTCTACTCTTTTTACCACTTGCAGGACAGAGTTTTTATGTGAACTCAGTCTTTGAAGAAGACAAGTGGTAGTATATTACAAGTGTATGAGTGATACAAACCTAAAGTTCATCGTGATTTTTAAATACCTAAAACTTTTATTTATCCTATACAAAATCTAATGAAATTGAAAAGCAAGAAACAAAAACTATTTTGCTAATTCTATAGAAGCACTGTTTAAATGCAGTTAGCTGCAATGTCAGATGTTTTGCAGGGATGGCCTGATGCTTCAGTGCCACGTTCCAGTTGCTATTAAAAATGAGCACATGATACCGAGAAAGTGGTATGACTTGAAACACAATGAAGTCTCAGAGGGCTGAAGAGACAGAACTAGCAGAAATATACAGAACAAAGAGACAGAGAGACAGGACACCGGAGGAGCTGGAGAATAGAGAAGTCAGTAAAGAAAGACAGAATAAACCACTATAATTACAAATACTTACCAAAAGTCACGAGGCGTAAGATACTGTGCCTCATGCATATGATTTAAAATTAAGTTGTACCTTCAAAACTGATGTGCATTTATAATACAGTATTCATTTATTTCTCCAATGCTGTTAAATTATGCTATGTATCTTATAATCAATTATATCTAAGCACTGAAGAACAGGAAAGATAGGACATATTTATGAAAAGATTTAAAATATTTATGACAAGATTCAAAATAAAAGTTCCTTGAAAAAGTGAACTAAGGGCCTATGAGATGGCTCAGAAGGGTAAAGGTATTTGACCCCGCCAAGTCTGATGACCTGAGTTTGATCCCTGGGATGCACATGGTGGAAGGAGAGACTGACTCCTCAAAGTAGTCCTCCATATGCGCATACAAAATAAACTAAAGGCATTGATGTAAAACAGTTTTCCTAAGGAAGTATCTGTTAGCTCCCTTACCTAGCTCTAAAGCATATTAATGAATACCACCTGCACATTGGGTGCTCAGTCAATGGCTCTAAGGATATTTCCTGCTATCCCCACACAGCTCTGCTGATGAGCTCCATATTATTGAATCAGTTATAGTTACCTCTAAACCTGTTTAAAACAGTTGCACTTCTTTCTATAAACACTACTAGGTATGACATAAGCAAATGAAATATGAGCACAAATAGAAAGTGGCTGCCTCTATGAAAACAATGTTAATGATTCAGAAAGAGTCAATGGCAAGTTGCTTAAAAACTGTGTTCAGCTTCAGTGTGGTTGAAGGGAAAAGCCCATGGAGAGAGATGCAGGAATTCACCACTCGAGCTTCTTAGGGAATTCTTTTACATTTTTTGTACTACCATAAGGGTATCAAAACTGGAGATGCTAATGAAGCATTAGTGGCATGGTCACAGAATACAGAAAAGGGGAGAGAGAGGGAGAGAGGGAGGGGGGGGAAGGGGAGAGGAAAGGGGAGGGGGAGGAAAAGAGATACACACACAGCCTTCAGGAATATATCCCAGGATTGGTGAATAAACCTAGGTTTAAATTTTGAGTAGTTTTTGAAGTGATTTTTAACATCATTACTTTTAAACTAAATGACAACTACTACCAGTCTACACTGGGTAAGAGGCTATTCCAACACATAGTAAATATAGTATTCAACTCCCTAACAACCTTAAAGTTAAAAACATGTATCTAGACGACACAGAAAATGTAAAAGAAAGCAGAGAAAAATAGGTGCGTGGTAAGAATCACGGTTAATTGCTCATCAAAAATAATGTAAGACAAGACGATGGAATTACATCATGAAAGAGCTGAAAGAACAAAAAGGAACAACACTGTATCAGTAAAAATGTCTCTAAAAGGAAGAAAACAGGAAGACTTCGCATAACAGAGTTGAGTTGTCAGATCTATCAAACTCTTCTTCAAACAAGCACATTCAAATGCAAATTAGTGTGAAATTAGTAAAGGCATTAGCTTTAACCTGATCTAACTTTAATATCATATAACAAAAATAGTCTGCAAACTCTAGCCATTCATTATTAGTTACAAAGTATTTCTGACTTACTTCACAAAGGCCATGATAAAACTGCTGATGTATAAACCAAAACTGTAGTAAAGAAAAATATGCATCTTAATCCTCAGCAAACTTACCTCTTTGTTTTGGAAATATCTGATCAGGATGCTGTAAAATAAATTTAAAGTATTATTAGGTAACTCCTTAACATATAAAAGAAAAATTTTTTAAGTAATTAAGATTACCTTCATTATTGGCCTGGCTCGTTTCTCAAACAAACCACTTGGAAAAAGGTAAGCAATAGCTCTCTGAAAATAATATACAAAGGTTAATTAGCAAGTGTTATAAAAATAAGTTCATTTTATAAGTTTATTTAGGCATGGTGGCACATGCCTTTAATCCCAGCACTCGGGAGGCAGAGGCAGGCGGATCTCTGTGAGTTCAAGGCCAGCCTGGTCTACATAGTGAGTTCCAGGCCAGCTGGGGATGCAGGGAGACCCTGTCTCAAAAAGATGGAAAAAAAAAAGTTCATTTTATAACTAAGTTCCAAATACTTAACTGTATGGAAAACACTGAGCTTGAGTTTCATATGTATTACCTCTGTTCATAATAAATACATCTACTAAGCATACATCCCCCAAAATCTATTAGCCTGCTTATTATTGACAACTTTCAAATGCCAAGACCAAGGGTGTCACTCCCTTGTTGTGATACCACAAGCAACCTGCCTACCTAATGGAAGCTAGAGGTGCCCTTGCACAAATCATGTGCTAATGTTCAAGGGCAACCCTTCCAACCCCAGCTGGTTCTGCAAAACAGTGCAAAAACCAGGCTCTATGCTTCATTTACCATGTTAGTGACTTTTTCTTCAAGAGATGAATACCTGAGAGAAGCAGTTTCAAGAACAATTTATTTTGGCTCATGCTTTTGGTAAGGTCTGCTTGGATCCATTACTTTGTGCCTGAGTCAAGGCAGAATATTATGTTGGTGGTAAAGTGCAGCAAAGGCTGCTCCCCTCCTGGTGCCAGGTAGCAGAGAAAAACAACAGAAGGGGCCGGGGACAAGACATGCCCTTCACAGGCACACCCCACACAACCTACTTCCTTCAGCTAGGCCCCAACCTCTAGAGTTTCTGCCATCTCCCTAAATAATGCCACCAGCTGGAGACCAAGCTTCAATACATGTATCTGTGGGGGACAGTTCCTACTCAAACCATAACATGCATCACGACTCTCCTGATGTCTTTAAGTGATCTTTCAATTTACCCCAGAGATTTTATCTTTTGGTGCTCAAGACTGAGCATAGGGCCTCATTCATGCTAGCACACTTTCTACCACTGACCCACCCTAGCCCCTCGGTTTTTAAAAATACTCTTTCCAAAAAGTCCTCTCAGATGTGTTTCTCACTAGGGATGCTAATGACTGAGTACCAGAGTGCCACTGCAAACTTTCCCCAGGAGAATTCAAACGTGGTAAAGAATGACAATACCTTACAACATAATTCAGTAAGTAGGTGTATGTGTATATAACTAAGTCTGTATATGCAGGCATATGCACGCACTTGGGGTGAGGGATGGGGAGAAAAAGAAAGCTGCTTAGTAGAACATCAATTATAAATTTTGAAGAAATGACAGAGGTAGAAAACTGCTATTTTACACCTTCTAAGTCAGTCCTAATTTAGGCAAAGATCATCAACAGATATTAAAGTCACTGGCTAAAATGTCACCAGGGACTAAAAAACTCACACAAGTATCAACCACTGGATTACTTAGCAGCAACAAAGGGGAAAGGTACTTTCACAAGAGTCCTACCCTAATTAAGCAAAAGATCAGTCATATTATCAACAGGGGAGAAACTATGTACCTCCCAGGATGACACAATAAGGGTAACAGGCCAGCTAAGTCATTCTTTTACACGTTCTAAATCTGATCATGAGGAAGCGGAAAGCCAGAAGGTAGAACAATGGAGCAAGTGGTCTAGAGTCTTTAAAACTAGAAAGCTAGTGCTTTACTTTGGTTTCCTTTGCTGTGACAGAAACACTGACCAAAGCCCAATTTGGGGAGGAAAGGGTTTATTTCATCTTCTGCTTCCAGGTCAGAATTCATCCCTGAGGGAAGGGAGGGCAGGAACGCAAACAGGAGCAGAGGCACTAGCCATGGAGGAATGCTCCTCACTGGCTTGCTCAGCTGCCTTTCTCACACAGCTCAGGCCCACCTGCCCCATACACCTGCCCACAGGCCTCAAAGGAGCGTTCCTCTTCCCAGATGTCTCTAGTTTAAGTCAAGTTGACAAAAATTAACTACCACATAGGGGTAATCTGGGGTAATTTAAATGCAGATTGCATATATGACATTATAGAATTGTTTTATTAGAATTATTCTGTGGAAGATAATGGCATGAAAGACAGACACACACATACACACACATGTGTATATTTTACTTATATATTTAGAAGTTAAGCTTGTGATATCTGCAACTTTCAATAGATTGGTCAAAAATTATTCTGTGTAGAGTGCCTAAGGAAATGTGGGAAATGTTAACTCTCAAATCTGTGTGAAGAATATATATTTCAAAGTTAAAAGGTAGGGAAAATGTTAGAAATTTTTAAATAATACAGATTTTCACCACACCCAGTCTGTCTGAATTAAGTCATCACCAGCCTACAGGATCTGGGCAAGTTGGCCTTTGGCCTTTGCTTACATCCACATAGCAGCCAAGGCTGTCAGCCTAACAAGGCCCAGGTTAGAAGAACATTGGCATTAAAACTCACTATAACTGCTCAGCTTAGGGCAAACTCACCACAGTCACAGCTGACACAAGCCATTCTTCCTCAAATAAGAGGAAAGCTTTCACTGGCATCAATTTTAAACATGAAACTTCCTCCTAACTTAGGCGATCACTGAGTGAGCCAAGGGGAAATGCAAAATGAAGACTCCATCCCACTGCTGGATGTCTCATGTACGGTGAGACTTAAAAGTCAAGAGGAAGCTAACTGGCAGAACAAGATAACAAAACATGTACTGCAGGGATGGCCAGAACATGCAGGCAATCTGTCTTCACCAGCAAAACAAGGAGCAAAGAATCTGCTGGAAGTGCCCTAAAATTCAACCGAAAGACAGCTTTGCCGAAGAAATCTCTTGGCTAAAAACAAACTAACACATATTCATTAATTTATAATCCTTCCGGTGCTGCAGTAGGAAAGAATGTATCAAATACTGTGGAGGAGGTCAACAGAGCAAAAGACACCAAATAAGAAACAATCTCACAAATTCAGTTAAAAGAGGAAAAGAAGATGGATGAAAATGGAATGAGAGAACAGTAAATAAAACGTGCTGGTTGTTTGTAAATAAGAACAAAACACCCAAAACAGAAAGACAGGTTCCCAGCATGCTGCCTGCCATCTGCTTAGCATGCACGGAGAGAGATAACATGACCTAACCTATTCCTTCATTTGTTTCCTAAGGGTACGCTACACATTCTTTCACAAATTCTGAAGCAAACAAAGAACTCCTTTGCCTTAATGAAAAATAATTTTGCTGTTTTGGGGGTTCATGTAACTCCCAGCTAACATACAGTTGTAAAACCCAAGTAGGTGAATATAGTTTTGAAATAATGAATAAAGAACAACATTTTACATCAGTACTGTGTTGAATAGCCTACAATGTGAACATTATCTGCTTATAAAACAGGAAAATCTTGACTTTCACTGCACTACAGAGGAAAGGGAGCAGTGAACAGGGTGCAAACGGCTCCTGTGCCCCTCAAATACCACTGCTATCCGCTGGTTGTGGGATTAAATAAAATACTTTAAAAAATACAGTGCAAAGCAGGTGCTCAATAAATGTTAAGTAAATACAAAAAATTCAGTTTATTTATTTAGCTAGCTGGTTAGTTAGTTTTTGGTCTTTTTTGAGAGAGGGTCTCCCTGTAGTCCCCACTGGCCTGGAACTTGCCAGGCTGGCCTTGAACTCAAAGAGATACACCTGCCTCTGCCTCCCAAATCCTGGGACTAAAAGTATGTGCCAACATGACCAAAGCAGGCACTAAATAAATGTCAAGTAAATACCAAAGTTCAGTTTATATAAGCCACACTATTTACCATATTATTTTAAGATGTAAGCGATGCACTCCTTAGGTCTATTTTGCAGATGAAACAGCAGTTGTTAAGTAACAAGAGCCAGTCCAAAATTACCCCAAGAGCATGGCAAAATAAGGACTGAGACAAGAGACTGACTTCTGTAACATGCTCGAAAGTTCTCTCAGATTACAGGTTTACTTCTTTGCCGCTTTCAAAGGCATGGAGCTATTCAGCAGTGAAATTAAGAGAAAAATTCCAAAATAAACCCGATTCTTTTAACAGGAAAATTAACTCATCATTTACCTTGGTAAGTTTTATTCAACAAATACTTACCCTCACCTGAATCTAGGCATTCTGCTAGTTTAGAAAGATGAATAAGATATGGCCTCTAACTCCATGTCAGATACAACTGCACTGAAGCATCACACGTAAACGACATACGGAAATAGAGTAGTTGGTTAACACTTTTCCTGCTTTTTCTTATCAGTCAGTTTCTCCGTTCTAAACAAGTACCATTCTGTTTTATGTTGTCTGCCTGCCACGTTCTTGTTCCACTTCCGCATTCATGCACTCACCTGTTTCTCCAGAACTAGATCGAGTGCAGCAGCACAGGGCTCTCCACACGCCTACATCTTCAGTCAGAAGAAACATCCCCATACCAGGCATCCCTTCCCCATTCTGTCACTGTCACTGGCTTCCATATTACTTGCGGCTATCACAAAGGGCCCCTGAACATACCAACTGCTGTCATATTTATGAGCAAACTCATGAGAAGGGGACATCTAAATTAGACTGCATCTTATGGTGGCACCTAGGCCAGTAGGAACCTCTAGTTCCTACACCCACTCCTGTCCTTGGAAACATCCACCCACTTCCTGTATCTGAAATCTCCCAGAGATTTCAATCTAGCCTCATCATTATTCCAATCCTGCAAATACTTTATCATGGGTAGAGGGCTCTCTTCCAAACCGCACTGCCTACTGGCAGCCCTCTTCCAGATGAGCTGCTGTCTTCTCCTCCTCCTTCCTCCCCTCCCACCTCTCTGCAAGCTCTTTTTTTAGGATCTCCTAAACAGCTCTCCCTACCTCATGATCAGAACTTGCCTGGCTGCTTTAGGGTTCTGCCATTTAGAGTTTCTTCCTTTCAAACAGACGTACAGGTAAGCCAAATCCATTCACCCCCCACCCCAATTTCCCACTGTCAACTGCCTTTTAGAATCTTTCCAATTACT